CGCACTGTTCGCCATACACTGCATCGTATGGGATATGGAAGCCGAAGGCCTGTTCGAACACCTTTGCTGTCTGCAGTTAACAAGATAAAACGTCTCCAATTCGCACAGGAACACAAGGATTGGACAGTCGAGCATTGGAAAAAAGTCATGTGGTCCGATGAATCACGTTTCCAGTTGCATCATGCAGATGGCAGAGTGAGAATTTGGCGGGAACAGCATGAAAGCATGCACCCCACATGCATGAGTACAACCCTTCAAGCTGGTGGGGGCAGTGTTATGGTTTGGGGCATGTTTTCCTGGCATGATTTTGGCCCTTTAATTCGTGTGGAACAACGTCTGAATAGCACAACATACCAAAGTATCGTTGCTGATCAAGTTCATCCTATCATGTTGATGGCGTATCCCAATGGAGATGGCTTCTTCCAACAAGACAATGCGCCATGTCACAGTGCTCGTATTGTGCAGGAGTGGTTTCAAGAACATGAGGGAGACTTTACCTTGCTTAGGTGGCCCCCACAATCACCAGATCTCAATCCAATTGAGCATTTGTGGGATGAAGTTGAAAGAGCCATCAGGCAGCTGGTTCCACAACCATCACATCTCACAGAACTGGACAGTGCTATTCATCAGGCATGGTGTCAGATTCCTCGCATCACCTTTTAACATCTCGTGGAGTCAATGCCAAGAAGAATCGCCGCAGTATTGAAGGCAAAAGGTGGCCCAACGAAGTACTGATGGGATGGTCATACTAATCTGGCCACTCAGTGTATAGTGCCAACAGTTTGCTCAGCATTTTACAATATAAGGAAGACATTACAGTTACAATACAATTCAAGACAAGATGGTAACGAGGACCCAGCCCATGAGAGCTTACAATCTAAAAGTGAGGTGCAAGTGATACAAGAGGTGGTAGCTGTTAGGGGTGAATTTTTGAGAAAGTGATAGTTCAGTGTGTAGGTTGAGGCGGGACAGGCTTCCCTGAAAAGATGAGTTTTCAGGAATTGCCTAAAGGCAAACAGAAAAGGAGATAGCTGGACAGGTTGGGGTAAGGCGCTCCAAAGGATGGGAGAGACTCTAGCAAAGTCCTGGAGGTGAGCATGGGAGAAGTTTATGAAGGAGCTAGAGAGCAGGAGGTCTTAGGAGGAGTGGAGTGAATGGTGAGGGTGATACTTTGAGACAAGGTTGGAGATATAGCCAGGGGGCAGACTTGTGGATCGCTTTGTAAGTGCTTGTTAATATTTAGAATTTTATCCTTTGGGTGATTGGAAGCCAGTGGAGGGATTGGCAGCAGGAGGGTGCAGGCACTGAGTGGTTGGTTAGGTGTGTAGCTTCACCAGCTAAGGAGCTGCTGGATGAATGGGTCTTCCATAGGCTGTCTAGGGATTTTTAGCAACCTGCTGCCCCAATAGCACTTACCACCCTCTGTGGTGACCGACAAAGCGAAGTCCAGACTGGAGATGAATGCTGAGAGACTTTATTGCTGAACTTCAGGGAGAGAGGGTTAGGGTGAGGACCATCCAGGCTGATGTAAACTCCTTCATCAGTAGAACATAGTAACTGCTGCCATTCACAGACTAACACGTTTAAGCCAGATACGGCAATCTGTGTAAAGAACAACTGGCAAAGCAGTACAGGTCAGAAGTCATCAGTCTTGTTAATCCTCAGTATCAGTAGTAGCCACTGGGCCCCCTGATTCAGGCCTCATTGTAAGTACATGGCTAGTCCCCAGGCTTCATCCCTAGCCAAATCAGACAGTCCATAGCAGCCTCGCCCCCACGCAGGGTCCACCCGGAAAATGTATGTCCGCTCCCAGCATGCACCACTGGCCTGAACCTGCCAGTGATTGGCCAAGGAGACACAGATACTCAAAACAATCCCCTATTGGTTACACACCCAGCAGCAGGCAGATGCAAACAACCACAGATTGCGCAGTAGAAACCAAATGAGTATGCACTATAGATCAGCATCAGACTGGTTACAATCTGACAATAACTACATTTAATAGCACTCCTGTTTACAGGGTGCTACAGGTGGATGAGTCTAGCAGCAGCATTCATGATAGACTGAAGGAGGCATAGCCAATGAGGAGGGAGTTGCAATAGTCGAGATGAGAAATAACATGTGAGTGGATGAGTAGCTTTGTGGTTTCATTCTGCTAGAAAGATTTATTCCCCCTTCCTGTCTGTGACCACTGTTACTAGTAAATGAAAGAAGGGGAACTCTTCTCAGTGGGGACATAGACAGCAATATACAGATAAAATAAGTTGTTACCCTTCCTCACTACTGTATACACATGAATAATTTATAAAATGCCTGAAGTAACATGCTGGTGAAAGCAAAACTGGAAATGTCCCTCAAAAAGAGCACAAGTAAACAAATTTAGGAAATATTCAACACACTTTTAATTCTGACAAATCAGTGGAACACAAACATGTCCACGGCAGCCATTCTTTTCCAAACCACCCAGAACACAATAAAACAAATAAACTGTTGAAATTTACTGGATCGATTAGCATTGTCACTCCAGTTCTGTGTACATTATTTGACAGTACAGTTTGGCTTCTAGTATATCTCAATATTCAGACATTTAGAGCAAAACCCCAAAACAATACGGTAATATATGGAAACTTACCAGTCCTTAGATGTGGTGGCTGCATTGGTTTTCTTTTTTTAAGCTTTATCCTTCATTTTAACCTGAAATAACACACTTCCTCTCCTGGGGTCGCTACGCTCAGTCAGGCACTGTACATATGGATGGAGCCATGAACAAGCATGTGTACCTTGTCTATCTCACTTACATGGGTTGGGATTAATAGTTTACACAATAAAGATAAGGTCCTTGGCACTATCCTTTCAGTTTACAGGAAGTGACAAAGACACTGCATTTCTGGGAGGTCAATAGGTATTTTCTGTACCTGCTAAACATTTTCTTAGCCTGAAAAAAAGAAAACTAATAAAGCCACTAATTCTAAGAACTGCTAAGTTGCAATACATAAAATTTCTCCTGCTTAGGTTTAGTTATCCTAAAACCTACAAGTACCAAGGTATTTGGCACAAAAAAACATGACACGGGTTCATCAATGAACATACTAATAGCAGTTGAAAAGGAGGACAGTATGAAACAGAAACATAAAGAAGTGCTAACAGAGTGTTGGAAATATTAAGCACAGAAAACATGTACCTTAAAAAAGGAAGAAGATATGTATGCAGAGAAGAAGTAAATGGAAGCACTAGAAGATGGAAAATGAAAAGATAAAGTAAGGGTAAGGAAAAACAAGAGGACATGACCAGGTAAATAATCAGTGTACCCAAAAATGATCATTTAGCTTTTAGTAGATGTTACAGTTATAGCGCTGATATTTCTTATATCTCTTGGGAACACCATCTCTGTGCTGAGTGCTGCAGTTATATGTTGCAGTTTTTACTATAATTTCAATTATTGAAGTACTATATTCTTTTTTGTTTTTAATGAAGTAGATATGGCCCTCAGTAGAAATAATATGACCCCTTGAGGATGTCACCCATTTTGGCCCACTGTTTCATATGCCAGATGACTAAAAATTAATAAATGCAGATATGTGTAAAAATAATGGTTACACAGTATTCGATATATGTAATGTGAAGTAAATGCAAGATCCACTTATTACTTCAGGCTTCGCATCCAATTTAAATCCCTGCATGGTAGCTGTAAAACAAAAACCATACCTGTGGGAAACAAAGTTAGAAAATATACCTACCTTACAGACAGCTTTTGCACTGTTCAGGGTGATGCTATAATCCTTCTGGTGAAATCGTGGGTGTACTGGGTATTAAAAATTTGAGAATCTCCGCATTCTCCGGTATTTTCGCAGAAGGATCTTGATGCCACCTTCTCCTCTGGCAGTAATGCAAGTATGCTTTCTAACTTTTTTCCCACATATATGTTTTTTACAGCTATCAAGCAGTGACTTGGATTGGAAGGGAGGCTGATCTAATGAGTAGATCCAATTTAAATGTAATTTATTATTACAGTGCTTAACATTCATTTTACCCAGTGCTATGTTTTCACCCGTGTAGGGTGTTATCTTCAAACTGCCAGCTGGGTTTATTGAGCAATTTCCTTGTTATTAATCACTATCCCTATAGCTCACTAGATTATTTAAAGTGGTCTTAAAAAAACGTAAGACCCATTCAGGCCTGTTCAGTGTGGTAACACAATAAAACACATTTTTAACAGTAATGCACAATCTGTAGTGCGGTGTTTGGGGTGCCAAAATCCACAACTAATGGCACCCCATAGCACAACTATAGTATTAGGAAACACACATTTGCTGCAGCTCACCACAACATGCATGTCATTTATTGTGGTGTGCTGCATTAAAAAAAGGCTTGTATCCACTTTTTTGTGTGTTAACGTGCATTACCAGCCAACTAAAAATGAACAGAGCAGCATTAACACACCTTGAACACACAATAACACGTTGCCCTATCGCATGTGTGTTAATGCAATGCTTAGGCTAAATAGTCACATGTTGTACCATGGCCTACCTCTAGTATATTTGAAATGATTGATGTTTGAAATTAAAAATATATATATTTATGACTGAATTATTACTGAAGAGAATAAGTCAGCAGTATATACTGTATTCCATCCATTATTAACTACAATTCATAAGAGTAATAAAAAAAAAAAAAGTTTACAGAAACCATTAAACGCAATATTTTTGACATTATAGTTTTCATTCTCAATATGTGTATAAATGTGATCATCTCCAAGAATTCATGAACATCTCAAAATAACAATGTACATTTTACATCTGTATGCATCATAATTCATATTTTATTGCGACTGCACTAAACTAGCAAATTCATCTTAGTAAAAAGGTAGTATTTAATAATTCCCTCCAGTGGAGAAACAATGATTAAAACATTGTAATTCTGATGACCGAAAATAACATTTGTAATAAAAGTAACAAGGCAGGCCAAAATTATTTGCTCCGCATTGCACTGTAGCATTTCAGGGGCACAACAGTTGTTTATCGTATAATTTCAGCAAGCCTTTCCTCGTAATATTTGGCATTTTCGTCTAAATCCTCCCAGGGGATAAAGGCTCCTTGCTCACTTGGTTGCTCAGCAATCCCTTCATCATCTAGGATGATGTCAGGCTCCACAAATTGTTGCCATACGTGCAAGTAGTCTGCAGTTTTCATCATCCGAAGCTTACAGCCCGCAGAGGTGATGCCTCGCAGTGCCCCACGGATCTCTGATTCTTCCCACTGGAACAACCGGGCCACAACCAATTGAAGCTTCAAAGTTTTGTAACGTCGCAGGCACCGAGCGATGCAAGCAGCGCAGTTGATACAAGGGCTAGATGACACATAACAGGTTACAGCAACTGGATTGGAAGAGACATATTGTGGCAAGACATTGGTGAAGAACGCGTCCTCTGCATGGGCAGAGACATGTTCATCTTCTAAGTACCCACGGAAGATCTGACCTTCTCCTCGTTCCACAGTGTAGCACAGGAGAGTTTTATTTCGTCCAGAACTGTACTCCACATTTTTAAACTGGAACATAAAAGAAGAGGCTGGTATGCGACTCCTAGAGATAGAAATTAGATACAGTTATTATAGGTTATTACAGGTAATGAGTTATTAAAACCATATACATTGTTAAAGCCTAGCTCCAACCTGCATTAAGGGTGTAAATAAGGTTCAGGATGGTATAGAACAGTGGATATCAACCTGTGTAACCTCAGGACCCACATTTGTCCTTGGTCATTAAGTCGCGACCCAAGTTGCACTGCAATGGAACGCATGGCATTTGGGTACCGTGCGTTCCAGTGAGGGCGTACCCACGTGTGGGAGCTCAGGCCCGGCGCTACCGCAAGGCAAGACAAGGGACCACCTGAGGGCGTACGCGCGGCACCTCTGGCAGTCACCGGCCAGCTAAGTTAGGACCCCACCTGGAGCTCCTCCCACCGGACCAGCGCTGACTCGCCGCTGCTCTCCCGCACCGCGCTGACTACAACCTCACCAGCGAGGCAACCTTCATCGAGCAGTAAGTGAGGGCAAGCGGGGTCCCTATTAAGAACTAATGATTATTAGGAGGTGATGATTGTACATCTATTGTCTGCAGTGTACCACATATAGAGTACACACTGCAGACAATAGATGTACAATTATCCTCTGCTAATATGAATGGATTAAATGATCCATAGTACATAATATGTACATAACATGTAGTTGTACTACGGATCATTTAACCCATTCATGTTAGGAGAAGATAATTGTAAATCTATTGTCGGCAGTGTATACTCTATATGTAGTACATATATTAGGTACACATTCCCAATACACTGCCGGCAATAGATTCACAATTATCCCCTGCTAATATTAATGGGTTAAATGATCCGTAGTACAACTATTGTTATGTACTATAGATCATTTAACCCATTCATGTTAGCTGAGGATAATTGTAAATCTATTGTTGCAGTGTACTCTATATGTAGTACGTAGTACATGTACGTTACACGCGTCCACTACAGACAGACACCGGCTCACCTCACCGACCTGGAGGACGGAATGACGCAGAGTACTGAACCCACGGAAACACGCCAGACCACTCTCACTACCCATCATCGTTGCTCCTCAAGCTGGCTCAACTGACCGCGACCGAGGGTCACACGGGGAGACCCCTTTTCCCTCATGCAGGAATATTACCCTCCGAATCACATTAACCCTACGCCCGTCAGACCGAACCCCATCTCCTCATCCGCCTCGAGACACCGGCCCCTGAACGGCATCCTATTTTGGAACTCCACTAAACCGTGTTGCCCCTCAAAATGGCACTGAAGCAAGTCGAAGACGGCGATCACCTAGCCTCCCATCCAGAATCGTCATCTGAAGGCTGAGTATACGCTGCATTGGCTGATGTGATACACGGTCTGATGTCTCAATCCCCTGACCCCCCATATCCCCCGAATCGATCCCCCTTATGCACCTTGCATACACCTCATCCCCCCACGGATGCCGGAGGAACTGAATGCCATCCCTTGTGTGTCCTATCGGTTCCATCAGTCTGCCACCTGACCCTTCCCGAGAGAGGAGGAACCCGTGGCTGTCAATTTATGACTGCACGCGTCCCTCAGGCCACGTATCGCGTGTTACCTTGCTATTTTGTTATATGGTTACTCAGTCAGTTTGATGTTCCGGTTGTTCGATTGTTGTTTAATGTTTTATTGTCTCCACGTTGTACTACTGTGAAAATTCAATAAAACTTATTTGAAAAAAAAAAAACATGTAGTTGTACTATGAATCATTTAACCAGTTAGTGTTAGTGAATAGGGAGTGCAGCTAGTGTTAGTGGAAAGGGAGTCCGGTTAGTGTTAGTTTATGGTCCTGCTCAACATATTTTGCGGTCCTCCGTACTGTTACAGCAGGGGGGGAGGGGCGCAAAAATGCACCTTAGCCTGTGTAGGCAAAAATCCTTGCACCGGCCCTGAGGGAGCTGAAAGCAATGCACGTATGGATGGAGCTCCCTCGTGGCCATAGAGCCATCTCATCACACCTCAAGCTGACACTCAGCACCGGGCAGCATATTTTGAATGGCTGCTTGGTGCGAGAACTGACAGTGCTGCGCTAGGGGGAGGCAGAGGAGCCTCTCACCTAGAAAAGTGGCAGGCTTGTGGCGACCCACTGAACAAGGCGTCAGGAGCCACTAAACACGGGGTCGCGACCCACTTTTGGGACACGACCCACCACTTGAGAACCAAGGGTATAGAAGATAGTATAGAAGAAGGTATGGAAGACAGTATTTCAGTATAACGCTAAGGTCAAGAACATGGGGGCATGACCACAAACTAACAGAAGTTCAAAATATACCTTATAAAGTATTATGTTACTGAAAGACTTGTCAGTTAACAGAAAGTCAATGTAAGCAAGCTTGGAATAACCACAGGTCTATACTCAAACACCAACCCAAAAAAAAAATCACTTTCTCAATGCTCAATGGACTGCTTGGTCTTTTTTTTTGCGGTCTCTCTTCTGTTTTCTAAATATTTCCATATCCATTTGGAATACAGTATAGATGGCAATAAAAACCTGATGGAAGGTATAACCCTCCTCTGTTAGAGTTTTGGCTGGAATTGGGCTTTAAAATGTAACTACAGACATAGCAAGCTGTGTCATTGCTTTGGCAGCCAGCAGCAAGGAGGACCCAGCAATACTGTCTGAAGACATAATGATGTATGCAGCTGTAGCATTTGGCAAATAATTTTGTAAATGGTATGCAAGCAATGTGTATGTGACAGTGATGGCTGTTATTCTAAAAAGGCAAATTCCTCATTACTGGAACAGCCTTTGAGATGGAAGTTGGGCTATAGTGCCCTGTCATGTACATTTATGACCCTTTATAATAATTAGGATGTCTATATCATAGCACAGAAGTTAAAGTCCGCAAATGCCAATAAAGAGATCACATTCACCATAATTTATTCCACCTGTCACTGTCACCATATAGGAGAAAGGACAAGTTCTTCCCACAAGGGCAAACGAAATTCTTCCTTTAATATCTGTTAAATAGCTTTCTGTATTGTGTTGCCTGCAAAAGCATTACTGTCCATCAGATCTTTCTTTCATATGTTACCATATGTACTTGATTATACAATGCATAACATGCTCGCATTTGTGTTCTACTGGAGAGAGATAAATGCATCCCATGTGAAATAGTTTCTTTCTGCGTAAGTTTGCCCATGTCAGAGATAACAAAATGTACTCCCTTCTGCCTGTGTGATTGTAATGCTTTGCAAAAAGCATCTGTCACTGTAACCTCTCTGTGTCACAGAAATGTTGAAGATATTTTTAGCTTTGCTGTAGGCTTCTCCTATCATCTGTCATCGCTATATTAATCCTGAACATCTCACAGCAGAAATAGGAGTCGCCAAATGTATTGTTAGAGATTTGAGCATGGTTACTGTCTAGCTTGGGGGTAGGGATTGAAGTGGACAATACCCGAGACTGGACTAATGCTTTGCTATTTTGAAGCAATGACACCGATATGAGCATCACAAATTTGTATAATTTTTGGAATGTAGCATGGCTATTTCAAACACAAGGTCAGTCAGAGACATATTCTAGCTTGTTGCAATAAATCTTTTCTAATGGAAAATGAAATTTTGCATTCAGTATGCATGAGTTGAGAGCAACAGTAAGAGATGGCGGCTTTAGGAACAGTAACATTGCTATGTAAAAACTTGTACTACAAATAGTGATGGGAAATCTGCCCAGGTATGATTCACCAAGAGTAGTGAATCTTGCTCAAAAATTCCTGTAAACCTGCACTTAAAGTCAAATTCAGCTGAAGTTTAATGGAAGGAGAGGGGGGATGGGGGGTAATCGGAACAGTATGGCACATATTTGCCAGTGGAATTTCTTTTTTTTTTACATTTAGCTTGTCTTACATACAGCAGCAGCACCCCAATCTGATTGATTTTACTTTGAAGAAAAAGTATTTTCACAGGTAGCCTTAGCAGTGAAACATGCTTTTTCATCAAATGGTAATAGGCCCAATTTGATTAGCAGATAGAAATTGGCTAGTAGTTCCCTGTGGCTGTCTTTGTACTCAGTAGTGTAAAACTTTTTAGTGTACTTCCATTTATAGAGTGCACCTATAAACTCTTGATTAAGACATATTATGATAGGCTTTTGAACCAGGTCCAAACCACTCAAGTGTGCAGCTCTGCTACAGTTAGCAATTCTAGCTGTGTCTTGAGCTACTAGAATGGCCTCTGGCCTACTGACCATGCAATGCTCTTCTCACAGGGACTTCCTCCTGTACTCTTCCTAAACTGGCCATACACCAATAGATTATCTGCAGATTTTCTATGGTCACATGGAAAAAGTGCAACAGATTCCTCCATCTACTCTAAACTGTGTGGATGGAGGAATCTCCCACTGGGCCAAGCTATAGTATCTTGCTAGTCGGCCCCGCTGGCTCTCAAAATACCTGAACAATCTGATGGATGCAGGCATTGTTCAGGTATTTTGACAGCCAGCGGGGCCAACTAGCAAGATACCATAGCTTGGCCAGTGGGAAATTCCTCCATCCACACAATTTAGTGTAGATGGAGGAATCTGTTGCACTTTTTCCATCTGACCATATAAAATCTGCAGATAATCTATAGGTGTATGGCCAGCTTTACAGACAGGTATCTGTCCCGAACCTGCACAGTCTGCAACTGCTTACACACTTCTACAATCCGTCACCAGACATGACATCACAGCTCTAGATAGCACTAAGCATGAGAAGCACTGGTTGGCAGAGCCTTCCAACCATCCTGTGCTTTTCTTAGTGGGAATAGTGTGTATTAGGAACTCTGGGCACCACTAGTATGCCGATCTTGCCTTACAAACTGTCCCATCTATGACAGAAATAAGAAATCTTTGGTCTATCTACATATACTGCATAGTGATGGGCCCAACACCCCCCTGTTTGGTTCGAATTCGAACTTTAGAACATGGGAAAAGTTTGGATTTGAACTTGAACTCAATGCAAGTCTATGGGGCTAGAACTGTGGACATGAAAAAATGACATTTTTTTATTTTAAATACCGTTGTTAAAGGAGCAGTGATTTCAACATCACTTAAAGTGAAACAATAAAAATGAAAAATTCCTTTAAATATCATGCCTGGGGGAATCCCCTTAAACTGTCTGTAAAGTTGCGCATCTGTACAATGTATAGAACCTGCTGCAGCAAAGCTGGCATTTCTAAGGGGAAAAAAAAGCGGTTCCCCCTCCCAAACAATACCAGACCATTTAGCTCTGGTAGGAATGTTAGGAGGGACCCCATTTAAAAAAAAAGAGACAAAAAAAAGAGAAAAAAAGCATGGGGTTCCCCCCAAAAGTCATACCAGACCCTTAGGTAGGAATTTTAGGGGAGACGCCATATAAAAAAACAAAAAAATAAGTGTGCGGGGTCCCCCCTCAAAGTCATACCAGGCCCTTAAGGTCTGGTAGGAATTTTAAGGAGGAACACCACCCCCAAAATTGGGGTTCCCCTTAAAATTCCATACCAGTCCCTTGATCCAAGCACAGTTCTGGCAGGGCAGGAAAGGGGGGGAGACAAGCAATCACCCCCCGCGATACCAGGCCACATGCCCTCGGCGCTGGGAGGGTGCTTTTCCATGGTCGCCCCTGGAGAAGCACCTTGTCCCCATGTCGATGGGGACAAGGGCCTCTTCCCCACAAGCCCTGTGGTCAGGTGCAAGGCTTTAGCCAATCAGGGCTTCACAAGGCACAGCGCCTTGTGGGGTGACACCTAACACACGAACTGCCGATGTTCGAGTCGAACTCACGATTGACTCGAACATCGAGCCCATCTCTAATACTGTATGATCTAAATGATATTTAAAATAAATACACAAATAATAAATTAGGTTAATGAATATATCTGGAATGGGATATGGCAATAATATAATTACATGTATAATGTGAATACAGGGCTTTTGTGTTAATTAAAATGAATGTGAAATGGTACATTTAGGTAGGCAGTGCAAAAGAAGGATTGGATGTGGCAGGTAATTTTTTAAAATGTATGTTATATACCTAACCAGATTTTGTATCTAAGGCTACATGCATATGGATAGTTAACCCGATGGGCTGCAATACATGATTTGTTTGAAATGGTCAAATACAAAAATAAAGCTTGTTTTACCAAAGATGAAAAGTTTATTTAAAGGCTAAGTTTGCCTTTTGGACCATGTTTTATGTTACACCCATATTCAGGGTGACATGGGTTCATATTCATGAAACATGGACATATCATATGAGACTGCTGATAACATTCACTGATACCATTGTAAGTTTTCTACAAGATATAGTATTATAAACAGAGATGTGGACAGCAAACACTAGGATTCTTCTACACAAGTTAACTGCTCTCTAAACTATTGCAAGAGGTTGGGGGATGGGGGTAATGAAGAGGAACATATGTTCTCCATGTGTTTAACCAGCTCAGATTCCCATGAGAATCATATATTTCCAGTTAGTGAATCAAGGGCATTGCACCATTCCATTGTACTGGAACCAGCAAACAGTGTAACTCTAAATAAATGCAATCATTCCTGTTAGGATTAATGAGGTGCAGAGAATGCAGCTGCACAAGGGCCTGTGTGGTCTACGGACCCCATTCATAGTACTTTACTTTTAGGATAAAAAAGGTGACATTTTAACCTAAAAGACCAAAAAGGATCTCCAAAGTAGTTATGTGGAATATGATGGAGACCTAGTTTAAAAGAACAGAGTCCAGTAGCAGCATCCATTTTTAAACATACTACCTTAATAATTTTTCTCAAGGGGTACCGTGTATGAAGTCTATGGTTGTTTTACAGATTAATTGAGGGAAATTTACTAAGACTGGAGCTGGAAAAGTCTGGAGCAGTTGCCCATAGCAACCAATCAGTTTATATAATTAATTTTCAAAGATTAAAAGAGAACTATGGGGTAAGTGTTTTTCCCCATAGTTCTCTTAAGGGTCACGGGAGGACATATACTAGCGTCCTCCTGTGAACCGAAGCTCAGTATATCGCGAGCTACAGCTCATGGTATAGTGAGACCGCCACAGCCAGGACGGATCCCGACAATGTTATCGAGATCCACCCAGCTGCGTGAATGACAGCTGGCTCTGCCTATCTAGAGGCAGAGCCAGCTGTATCCGCCCCCTCCCTCGTCCGTTCCTCCAGTCAGCGCTGGAGGATCGGAGCGGGGGGAATCCCTGCGGGGAGCGGTGTTGAGCCGACGTGTGACAGTTTCATTGTCACACGTCGGCTCGAACTATGAGGATGAGTGATTTTCACTCACCTCATAGTTCTCCTTTAACGGAACAAGCTGAAAATAGAAGGCGACTGGTTACTATGCACAGCTGATCCAGATTCTGTCTGCTCCAGTTTTTGTAATTTCCCCCCAATGCTTTTAAAATGCTGGGTCTGATGACTCAGGCTGTGATAATACTCTGAAACATACTATATGCAAAACCTGTTAAGCATATGTTTCACCATAAGGGAATGAATGGTCGCCCTTTTTAAAGTGCTATGCTCAATGCTAATAGATACCAGCTCTTTGGTACCTCAGGTAAATTGCTACTCCTTGCTGTGTGGCCTGGTATTGTGCTCCTTTGGCTCTTTATACTTTCACCTATGGTGTAGATATTCCTGCTTTCATTCTCTTGTACTACATTTACCTAACAAGAACCATTGCATTTATACTATATGCAATGTAACCTCATGTTACCTAATATCTTACTGAAGTAATTAGAGAATGACAACCTGGAAATCTATACTAAATTCCCATGTCACTTTTGTTCTTAAATACTAATTCTTTACCTTCCTATGTAGAGCCAAAGGATATCTCACTGCTCCAATTCCTTAGCCGTCCTCTACGAATAATCCTACAGGTGAAACATGCAAGAGGTTGTAGCTGGTAGGGGGCTTGCGGTGCTGGTATTTGCTGTTTGATACAACTTTATCCACTGTTACACTGGATTTGCTGGTATTTCGGTATCGAGTACCGATATTTTTTTTTGGTACTTGCCGATACCGAATAGCAATACTAAGAACACCATCCCTACAGTCAAGCACGGAGGTGGAAACATTATGCTTGGCACTGTTTCTCTGCTAAAGATATAGGCTGACTGTGCCGCATTGAGGGGCCAATGGACAGGGCCATGTATTGTAAAATCTTGGATGAGAACCTCCTTCCCTCAGCCAGAACACTGAAGATGGGTCGTGAATGGGTCTTTCAACATGACAATGACCCAAAACATACTGCCAAGGCAACAAAGCAGTGGCTCAAGAAGAAGCACATTAAGGTCGTGGAGTGGCCTAGCCAGTCTCCAGACCTTAATCCTATAGAAAATGTATGGCGGGAGCTGAAATTTGGAGTTGCCAAGTGACAGCCAAGAAACCTTAAGGATTTAGAGAAGATCTGTAAAGAAGAGTGGACCAAAATCCCTCCTGAGATGTCTGCAAACCTGGTAACCAACTACAAGAAACGTCTTACCTCTGTGCTTGCCAACAAGGGTTTCTCCACCAAGTCATGTTTTGCTTGGGGATCAAATACCTATTTTACTCACTGAACTGCAACTCAATTTATAACATTTGTATCATGTGTTTTTTCTGGATGTTTGGTTGATATTCTGTCTCTCTCATTTAAAATACACCTATGATAAAAACATTTGTAGACCTTTCATTTCTTTGTAAGTGGGCAAACTTACAAAATCTGCAGGGGATCAAATCATTATTTGCCACACTGTATGTGCTTCAATCTGGCAAGCACAAGCAAAAGTCCCATATTTTAACAGACATTTAAGTACATGCATATATAAATATATTTAAAATTATGATATAAATATAATGTTATACTTCTTGTCCCTTTAAAATAACATAGTGAACACTGTATTCAGCATGTCATGGATATACATTAAATGACAAATGTGTATTTAGCCCATTAACAAGATTATAGGTCTGATATAAAAAGTAGAGCAGATTACCCTAAACTATGCCAAAAGCAACCAATGAGATTTCTTGTTCCATTCTTGTGCAGGTCAGCAAATTTAAACTAAAATAGTACTACCTTTTACTATAAAAAATATTACCAGATATGTTTCCCTTGTTGGCAGTTTTCACAAATCAGTCCTTATCAATTTAAGTTCCATTTTATGAACATGAGTAGCCTACCGCCTGATTGACCAGCAAGGAAATGTCATCCCATTTTAAAGATGAATATTATTACTGAAAATGAAAACTACCATGAAATCAAAATACTTTCTGCGCTGACACTGGTGCTTTTACATTTACCATATTGACTGCAAAGTTATCAAAATCGCATGGCTTTAATGTGAAAGTGTCACTGCTTCAAAAAGATGGCAGATGATTGTGAAAAATGCCCCCGAGTAAAAATTCCCTGACCCTCAACAGGCAGTTCAAACATATCTCATGGAAACGTCTAAAAGATTAATGATCTTGCCAATACCAAACCCTTTTTATTTAAAATTGCTATTATTAAAGTATGATCATAAAATATATGTAATGCATTTATCATATGATGTTAAAATGACATCAAACAAATATTTGAATTGAATTAACAACATCTTGTGGAACTGTTGGTAGGACACATCGGTCAAGTTTAACAGCTTGCTGTTATCTATTATAATGTAATTGATGTTAGCATTACTATTGGTAGCAGAACAGTGTAAAATCATGAGTAACTTACCCTTCCACCACCTCAAAAGGTGGCAATTCTTCCTGTTCTTTCTTCTTTTCTTCACCATTTTCTTCAGCATTTTCTGCAGCATTTTCTGCATTTTGGGGGGGCTCCTCTGGAGTCTTGATAGGTTCTGATTTGTTCTGTTTGAGGGACATGTCAATTTAAATATGGTATCAATAGATTAAAGCACAGAAAAGCAGAAAAGGGAAAGTATCATGGGAGAAGCAGGCAGCAGATAGAGAGTTAGGGAAGCTTGCTGTAAACTGATAGTGCCAAGGGTGGGCTGACAGAGGAGATGGGTGGAGAACAGTCTTATCCAGGTTCTAAATATGGCACTCAGGAGTGACAGTGACAGGGTGACCTTTGTGGAATGGACATCCCCACTCCCTAACACTCACTTATCCCCCTCATTGCCTGCAAGCTGCAGCTAAAGAAACAGTTGTAAAGCAACTTTATTTCAGAAGTGACAGAAAGTGCAGAAGCCACTTAAACAATGTAGGCAAATGGACAGGTGCAGGATCTAGAGGAGCAGTTGTTTGTTCAACAATAAAGAGCCACGTTTTCTTCTACAAACTTCCATCTTGCATTATACAGTTGTGTTGCCTTATTTTGCATGCTATTGGAAAAATATTGCTGCAAATCTGACACAATAAAAAATTACAAATATTTATCATTCCAACACTAAACAACTGATTGCATTTCAACTTCTTCCAGATCTTATAACATTGGGTTGCTAATTGTAACACCAACATCACCATCAGCTGACTGATAATGTGAGCAAATAACGTCATGTGGATGCTCACATTTTAAAATAATATAATCCATAATCATGTGTTTAGTTGCAACAGACCACATTTAGTTAATAGGATACATTAGATTTTATTTGTATAGTATAATACTATATTCATAGACTGTAGTATAGTACAGTATATGGCACACATAAGGACAGATAAAGTAGGTACATGTATAGGAGGTAAAAAAAACAGAGCAAGCTCTCAGAAAAGTGCAGCGGTGTGCAATATAAACATGATGCTATTATAAGGGATGGGAAATTGAATGGATTAGTAACATATTCTTGAATCCTATGTACATACAGTAGTAGATATGCTACTAGATTCTTGTCAGCTGAAAGCAGACATTGGTATAATTTAACCTCAGTAAGGAAACATGCTTAGATTCAGGAGCAGCACAGAAAAAAAGTGTAAACTCAGCTTTTATTCCTGAATAAAAAATGTAAAGATTTCTTCAGAGGCTGTAGATCTCTGTAATCCATAGGTATACAACCTCTGTGGTCTAAACCCTCATCTCATCAACTAGGCCCACCAAATTAGGACATGTTTTTCGAATTTCTGGCTCTTCACTGTGTTGAAGTGAGTTTTTTAATACTTTCTATAAAATGATTTTCTATTACTACTACAGTAAACAAGGGAGAAGGATGAAACAGGTGCCCACCCTATTTAATTTTGCAGGAGCACTAATACCCACCTTGATAGACTTGTACGTTGTATATGTAGTAAACACCATGTGAAAAGTTTGTTCAATGTTGAAAAGAGGATAATGGTGGCCACTCACAGAAATATCTTACAAATCTGATTTTATAGTAAATGCTTTAGAAACATGTAAGCTCACTAGTACCCCCTAGTCAATCCTTACATAGCCTAATGGTTTCCAGATCGTTACAACTAATGGTAAAATCAGTTTCAGTATTGTGGCTTTATGGCTAATACTGGCTTGGCAATCTGGATCATGGTTTGGATTAATCCCATGGACACTGTCTAAATGGAGTATGTTTTTGTTTTTTCCAGCACGTTTGTGTGGGGTTTCCTTAATCACGGCAGTTTCCCTCCATATTGCTAACACTTAGAGGTAGGTAACTTTTTTGTCCTCCAAACTCACTCCAGCGTGTGGGTGTGATAGGAACCTTAGCGTATAAGCTCTAAGGCAGATAGGGACTTGTGTACTTGAAAGCACTGTGTAATATGTTGGTGCTATATAAATCGAGAAAATACAAATATTCTGAGCATTCATTTGGCACTTTTACATTTGACCACACTTAGCCCATTATTTAACTAATTTAAAGGCAAAATATGTGCCAATTTAGTGTAGTGTAGATTTTAGGCCACATTTAACCACATGATACATTTTTACTTAGCTTAAGCATTTAAGTGAACCTATATTAAGAAAGGAACCCCCTCATATAAATATGGTCCTCGCTGGTCCCTTTAGTTACCTTCCCCACTCCTGTATTCCACCCTGATCTTTGCTGCTGCCCCTGCAAAGATCCTGTGCAAATACAGACCATACGTTTTCTGGTAAGCACGTCCCCTCAGACACTGAGCAATGCATTGTAAGAAGCATGGACAGGAAAATAGAAGATAAAAAAAACACCATAGGGTAGAGCCGTAGCTAGCACCTTTTGCGCCCGAGGAAAGAACCGAAAATTGTGCCCCCCAACAGGCGTGTGATGTCACGCGGCGCACGTGTAGCATCATGTGACATCATGCGCCCGCCTCCAGTATCAACGTGACGGTGGGCAAATCTAAAGTAGCATAAATATTTGTTTCGTTTGACAAAACTAATGACATTTTTTTTTAGTTTCTGTGATACTCGTATCGCCCCTCGGCCGGGACAACGAGCCGTACGCGCAACTGCGCAGGCACACCGCGAGACTCCTCCCACTCACGTACGGGGTCCGTCGGTGGCAATGCGCAGGCGCGCCGCGAGACTCAGCCCACTCACTCGAGTAGTCGGCATAAAGTCGCGGTCCGCCGTTTGATCGGCGTCCCACTATTATTGAAGCAGGACGCTGATCAAACCAACAGCCCTGCTACTCCAGGGACCCACTACTGAAGAGGAAGTTGCTGAGATCCCTCCACACTGTGCAGAGCCTCAAACAGCAAGTATTGCTACCATAGCCATAAGGCTATGGTAGGGAGATCCACAGCACTTCCTATACTCATACTGAATTATCTGCTTTACTGCAACTCAACCCTCCGCATAGCCATATGCCTAAATCAATTGTCAGCTGTACTGCAACCTAACCTATAGCATAACTATATGCCTACTCAACTGTCTGTTGTACTGCAACCTAACCTATCGCATAGCCATATGCCTACTGAATTGTCTGTTGTACTGCAACCTAACCTATCGCATAGCCATATGCCTACTGAATTGTCTGCTTTTCTGCAACCTAACCTATAGCATAACTATATGCCTGCTCAACTGTCTGCTGTACTGCAAGATAACCTACCGCATAGCCCTATGCCTAATCACCTGCATGCTTGGTAATCAGTTACACTGCATCATAGCTGTACGCCTACCTAATCTGTCTGCCTTGTTATACGTGAACATCATATATCTGTGGCCTCAAGCTAGTTGCTAGACTGACCCATAACCTAACCACCTGCTTCACCCTAAAGACCTACCTTACCGGTGAAGCGCAGGCTTATATGTGCTAAACGGGGTGTGATGTGAAGCAGCTCTCTCCAAGCCTTATCAAAATCTTGGGCGTCGGAGGTAGAGCTGCGATCTGATACCCGTTCTAAAGCCAAATCCACAGCTGCGGTCCAAGGACCTTGTTAACCCCTGGGGGGTGTATTACAGTTTCTGATCATTTTGTCTGAAATGAATTTTTAGCCTTTGCACATGTCTAATAATGTGTGTGTGTGTGTGTGTGTGTGTACGGGGGCTGTTGTTGTGGGTGTGTGGTGTTTTTTTTTTTTTTTTACTGTTGGGGGGTTGGGGCAAATATCAGGGGTCTAAATAGACTCCTTACACAGAGTCCTCAATCTCTTTTTCTGCAGCCACTGTTTTAAATGAATGGAAATCACTCAGTACACAGGCTTCCCATTCATTCGGAAACTGGTGATAGTAAATATTTAATATCATGCAGTTATGAATGGGTAGAATCCTCTATAGTGAGTGCTACTACCCATTCAGACATTCATGAATGAACAGGGAGTGATGTAAAGCACTTTGTGTTCATTCATACCTGGGGTCAAGAACCAGCTGTGCACAGAGCTGCACAGGAGAAGGAGCGCTGAAGCTGGTGGG